TAACTCGAGATTTACTTAATCAAAAAACTTTTTTATCTATGTATTTTGGAAAGCTCTTGAGAAGATCTACAAAAATGTGCTATAAAAAGTAGGGGGTTTCATTTAAGAAATTGAAGGTAATCTTCACATGACCTTCGAGCAACTATTCAAGATCACATTAATGACACCACCTTATGTCCCTCTCAAAGCCATACAACTTTTGTCTGAAACATTTTTTTCTAAGATCAAAAATAAAAAAGTTATTTGGGGAAATTAAAATGGGACACCCTGTATAAAAGTTTTTCATACAATTTAAATTGAATTTAAAGCTCTGATTCAGTTTTGATCGTGTTTTTCTACTTATTTGTGTTATTCTTATATATCAGTCTAGTTTTATTTATTGTAAATTGAATTAATTAATTTTGATGTTAGATTAATATCCAGCGATTTGGAAAATCTTTAAGTTTGAATAAATAATTACAAAATATTTGGTAGATCCTTAATGATTTATACAAGTCACAATTTTTATTGACAACAAACCTCATATTAATCAAATGTCTGATTTATACAAGTCACAATTTTGATTTGACAACAAACCTCATATTAATCAAATGTCTTTTATCTAATTGATATAAATTTTCTTAGGGCTGAAAGTTTTAACATACTTAATTTTAATTGAAATAAAACTTCTCTAACATGTCATATCATAGTTATACTAAAAGATAACCTTTTTTGCAACTTTAATTACAATTTCTTAAAATTGTAATATGATAGAGCAATTTGGTAAACAAGATCGTATTCAAATCGTCCGAGAAACGATTCATTCTTATGCATCTTTTTTGGTTAAACAGTGTTATCACATGTATATACCGCTTACCGTCGCTCAAGACTTCGTATGCTTCCGAAATTTCCTTGAATTTTTTATTCGCTTCTTCCAAATTATCTGGATTTTTGTCCGGATGCCATTTTAATGCCAACTTTCTATACCTGTAGAACAGAAATATACCGGATATTGCGAAACTTCAAAAACACGACTGGGCAATCATTTCGTAAGATTTCGAAACTTTGTTTAGACCATTCATATAATGCCGTATCCTCGAAAGGAGATGAATGAAGAGTTGATGAACGGATCGAACTTACGCCTTTTTGATGTCAGCGCTGCTAGCGGTCCGCTGTACGTCGAGCACCTTGTAGTAATCGACCATCGTTCGGTACGTTTGGGGATGAATCAGAGCCTAGGAAACCACCTGTCGGACAACATGAGAGAATCAATGGACGGGAGCTGACGATGTCGTATTGAAATTGCGGGATCGATTCCAATACGACAATGCGAAGAGGCATACGATCGAAAGTCCGATGTCGATGTCGTCTCGAATGTCATGCTTCCTCTGTCCCGGTAACGGTAGGACATAAGCTGGATTCTTTACAACGCGATGATCTCTCTAACGTCTCGACGTAACGTGTAAAACGTGTTTATGTCACGATTTTACGCGTCGATCGGCGATATGTACATACGGCGACACGCGCGGGGTATCGTTAACGATTTCAAATGAGCACAGGTAAAAATACGCACGCGCAACAACGACAAACCTCGATAGCAAATTAAACACGCGTAAACGCGAAGACAAAATGACTAAAGTTAGCCAAGCTGATCATCGAAAATAGTTGGAAATACGTAGAGATTATTATGAAGCAAAAATCGCATTACTATCGACCTGCTACTCACCGGTTTCTCAAGACTCTCTCGAGAGGTATCGGTCGCCACTGCGAATCAATTTTGTGGTTTCACTCACTTCAAATCGAATGAAATGAAATTGAAATTAGAAAAAAAAAGAAGCGGAAATGCACGCGCATCTTCTCAGAATCTTTTGCCATCGCGACATTCACCACTACTTTGACCGATACTACTTTTGCTCTCGCGATAACTGGCTCTCCGCCAATATAGAATCGCGTACGTATATGCACTCTTTGTTGGAGAAGAGTCCCTCAGCAACGAGACACGTGACACCCAATCCACCCAAGATAAGAGCCGTGTATATACGTGCTTTTTATTTAGGAAATACTGTAAAAACTATTCGAGTGACTCACTCCACTTTGGGATTCGATTTTGGTCTACCTATGCGCTCCTACACACACGCGTTTTTCTCTGTCTCTCTCCCTCCTTCTGTCTCAGGATGAAGTCGTGGCTAGCGTACTCATCAGCGTGACGTGGGTGCCCCGCGACACGACTACGTAACCCCACGAACGAGCTGCGCGCGACTAAAAATTTTTCGTTTTAGCCTGAGCTCTGTCAGACTTACTTCCTACTCCCAATCATTCTTATTATTATCATTATTGTTAACGCAAAATTTCTTGAGTTTCCAAATTTTTTGTATTCTATGACCGGTATTTATTTCAAGTCCATCTTAAGTAATGACTTAAGATGCTTATACGATTCTGTGGTTTATGACATTTTAAAACTGTACTTGAAGAATAGTGAGAGATTTTCACGTTTAAATTGGAGGCGAAATTTACGAATTTATTTGAGGCAAAAGAATAAATACAATTCTCCATTTATTTACTGCTAGATTTAGGATGTAACAAATTTTAAAAAATTAATTAAAACTATACGAGTTTTTTTATTATTAAAGGCGGACTAGAAAATTCAAGTGCCTCGTGTTTTGCCACGATTGTGTGTCAATGTTTGAAGAAATATTATTATTTTCTGGTCTAATTTTCTTCAGGACATCTTGTTCTATGGACTGAATCTAAAAAAGATTATTAGAAAAATGTTATGACAAAAAATGATAACAACATAAATAACGTGAAAATTCGAGTTTTACATTTACATTGTTACTATTTTGTAGTAACATTTTTCTAATGATTGATTTTAGATTCGATCTGAAGAGTAAAAAATCCTGAAAGGAAAACTAAACCAGAAAATAACAGATTGTTTCCGTTGTTCCGCAAAAATTGCGGAATTGTGGTAAAGACGAGACTGTCGAAGTTGTCGGATCTATCTTCAGTGACAGAAAACTTCTATAATTTTAATAAGTTTAATATTACAAATTATTTTTCTACATCTCAAATGTAACGGTAAATAACATCTAAATGGAGAATTATCTCTATTCCTTTCTCTAAAATAAATTCGCAAATTTCGCATTATTCGTATTAATTCGGCCATACAAACCTTCTGTCCTCTCTTAAGATAATCTTGAATGTAAGAACTATGAATATATCTTAATTTTGAAAGAGATATGTCCTCTATCGAAATGTTTCTCGACCAAGAGCGAGCTTTCTGATTAATTAAAAATGCGATAGGATTGATTTCGCACGCGAGAAAATGACCTCGCGAATACGTCGGTCAATTTGAAAAAGGGTACGCGTTTGCAAAAGACATATGAGAGGGAAGCGATTCTAGTGGGCGTCCTTATGCTCTTACAGAGAAAAGCGTGACGTCAGGTTTACTTATTTGGCCAGAGAACGATATATCGAAGGCAAAGGATTTCGCGCCGCGACATTGCGAAAGCAACGTGTCCTCGCTCGCGCGAATCTCTTTCCGCGCGTTATTCTTGTCTCGAGTATGATTCAAATATATTACGACGATACCTAGTTACATTGATTGCTCATCTATTATTATTCTTCCAGGATTGCAAAGCAAATGTACAATATTCTCGCAACTGAATATATATATATAGGGTGTCTCAAAATTGGCGCATTTGGAGTACAGGACGTGATACTTTGTGCTAAAAGGAACAACTTTTTCCTTCAACAAATTTTGATCTGACAAGTAATTTTGGCAGGAGAACTGGTTAAAGTTAACGAATAATCGCTCTTGTCCATGCGGCGCTTAGGGCCGGCGCGCGCTTCTCCATTCACTTATTCCTAATCCTTGGCTAATATTTACAAGTAATGTCTTAAAATACTAATACGGCTATGTTATAATTAGTTTACGACATTTTAAGATTGTGTTTAAGACAGTCTTAAATATTAAGAATTAATTATAAATATCTTTTATTGCTTGAAATATGAATAGTTAATAAAATAAATATTGATTTAAAAAAATAAAATTAAATAAATATTGATAAATGGTATCACTGAACTTAAATAGTTTACTAATTCTTAAGTAAACAAGTGCTAAAAAAATTTTATTTGTTGTGTAACAGTGATTAAAAGTAAAGTAAAATATTTAAGACACTTTAAGAGCTAATTCTCTCTTTAATTTTTGCAATGAAAAATGCAAAAAACTTGTCATTTTAAGATTGTATTTCACTATTCCAGTTATTTCCAATATTGCTGAAAAATTCACAAAATTTTTAAGAATATCTATTTGTAAATTGGCTTATGTGGGCATTAATAAATTGAGCAGATTCATTAGTACATAAAAAAATCCTTTTCATCATCGAATCATATCAGAAGAACTTTATTCGTAGAATCTT